TTTTTCAATGCGCTTTAATTATTAGAACAATGAGCCAACCTAGCTGTCTTTCCAAGCCTAGTGCCTTCCCAAAATATAAAACCTGACACACACAGTGTCTGAGACATAACCTAGCGTTGTGTAAACATGTAATATCATTTCAGGAGAAGCTTAGAAATTTGTAATAAATGCTGCCCAGTAGCAACAAAGTGGCTTACGCAGGATATTAGCGCCAGCTCTCCCAACGCGTCAGGCGTCACCCACACAAGACTTTTGCAAGCCGTCTTTATCTGCTATGCGATGCATGAAATCTACTTTCGGTTTTAGAACTGCGAGCAACCTTTGACCCCTTGAGTGGAGACACAATGTGACCTTTCTATTGTCATCGGCTTTCATTCTCCTGAAAATTCTATGAATTTTTATTACAAGTTTTTTTTTTGTTTTGTTTTTTTTAAACCAAGCTGCGGCTTCAACAAATTACTTGACGCCGATGAGATGAAGTTGTTGAAGGGGTGTTAGATAAGTTTTACAGCCCGCGCGCGCCCCCGAGGAGCCTGGGCCCGGTGTCCTGCCATGTCACCCGCCAGTAACTGCTGAGCCCACTATTGGATAAATACATCATTTTATGGAACATTGATTGTTCTATAAACCCAATGGAGTATTATGCTCTATGATCAAACCATTTAGATTGTGTGTAGAGCACAGAAAATGCCATATTCAGGATGGTACTAAAAGTGCCATTTGTGTATTTTATGGACGTCATTACAGGGGAAACTTCTCTCTGTAGGCCCTGTTTACTGCAAAATTTTTTAGTCTGTAATGACATTTTTCATTCACAACGTATGCCTTCAAGAGAGGGGGCCCTTGTTTTATTTGTTTCATTCGAGTTTACTGCACAAATTCTGTACATTTTAATTAAATGTAAGCTTAACAAAAGCATAAGGTATTTATTCTGTGGGAAAAAATGATGACAGTAAGGAAAGAATAACACACACACAACAAGGAAGCAGTCAGGTACTAAACCCTATTTGTAGCTTCCCAGAAGCACCGCAGACAGAGCCATTAGCACAGTTTTGGGGAGCTGGGTCCCGTCTGCAGCTTAACCCCTGCGCTCCTGCAGGGCAGAGTTTGTGACTTTTGGCTCTGGAGACATTCTGTTCAAAAAGGACAAATAAGCAGGAACCGAGCCTCATAATGATCTTCGGGAGAAGTAAGTCTAATTACAAACCATTTCCCCGAAAACAAATTCTCAACCCTCAGAAAAGCCCTTCTCATTTAGACTAAGTGGTAAACGTTCAACGCGTTTAGCTCCGAGAAGGGAGTATAATAAAAATATCTCTGTGCTCTTGGAAGCAAACGAGCAGGGAGTCGGAATTTCATAAACAGGCACGAGGCTGCATTTTAACTCCATTTGCACCTTCTACACAAAGCCGCTTATTGTCCTGTTGGAAACAGATCCCGAAAAGGCTGCTTTAGATACGCTCTCTGATTAGCGACTGTTACTGTACTGAAACCTGACATCGCCTCTGAAGGGTGTAAAGTACAATACAAATGTTATGTCGGGCCTCCGTGCTCCATTAAAGACATGTGCAATTGTGGCGCTGTCACGGCGACTGGGCAGGTAAGGATAAAACCTGCACCACGTTCCCCTTTTCCAGATGCCACATCCGGCGGGCCATTTGCATCGGTGAGCTTCGCAGTTCATATTTACTGGAAAGACCTCAAAAATGGAAGTTGATGTGCCCAGTAAATTCTTGGTCGTAGCCCAGTTAGAATTTAAAGTTACAGTGGAGATTCACATTAGTTTAAATGACACTTGAACTTGCTACATAGCTCAACATTAATTCATTATGGTCGAAATGGAAGAATCTTCAGTGGGTGAATCTTTTTCAATCTGATTGAGGCTGTTACATTTTATAGATGCTATTTTTCAAAGCAGTACTGACAGCACTCGAAGTTATTAAATTGCTGAATCAAAAGGCTGGACCTGCACTCGCGTTTATGATCTGTGCTGCAGCCACCAGGCTCCCTGGGCTGAGGTTAAGATGTTGGTGGCGTTAGGCTCCATCACACCCCGTAGTGACAGCACTATTTACCCATGTCGTTTACTTTAATGGCCTGGAAGTGGCTTAACCCACCTCTGGATTCAAATAAATTCAGTAAGTAGTTCAGAATAGCATAATTATCAGTGCTGCAAGGGAATCAGAGGGTAATTCTACACCCGAGAGGTTTTCTGTCCACTTGCCTACGAAGGGAGGGATTGCTGGGACTCAGCAGGTAGCACTTCTTTCAGAGACCTCCTATGAGTAGGGTATTTGTTCTTTCTCCACTACAGAGGTTTCTCCTGCCTTTTAATGTAAAGGCAGTGTGTTCTCTTCTGTAATTAATTATGGAGGGGTGATTTGAAGGCTGCTTTCTTTACTTTTGTGTTCATATTGCTTTTTTTTTTCCATACTCTAAATTAGACTGAAAATGACCTTGAAATTCAATCAAGTTCAGGGTGTGAGGAAGCCAGAACAGACAGAAGCAAGCTGGATCAAGTTCAGAGTGTGATGAAAGCAAGCAGAACGCTACGTCCTAGGTGGAGAAGTCGAGGGTGGGAGAGGTGGCCAGCATAGCAGAGGAAAGACCTCAGAGTCCGGTGGGTGGCGGACTGACCGGGCTGGCATCACCCTCCCAGCTTAAACTCAGGCTGTGGAGGTGTGAATGAACGTCCTCGCGATTACCAGGCTCCGCAGGGAGCCTTCTGATCTCTCTGAGTAGAGGTTCAGCCTCTCTTTCTGGAATCCCTGCACTTTCACCTAATCTGCTGAACATTTGTCTTCCTGAGGGTGTTTCTTTTGTAAAACAGGAGAAGGGGGCAGAGGGAGGCGATCTCCACAGCGGACACATCCCAGGCGGGTCGGGGTCAAGATCTGGGTGGATTCCTGTACAGCTCTCCACAGGCTCACGTGGCCTCTGGGAAGCCTGCACGCTGCCCTGGGGCATCTACCGCCGAGCACCCTGCCATAGGTGTTGAGCCAGTGGAAGCATATTAGGGAGCCAGCTGGTGACCAGCTCCCGCGGTCCCCAGTTCTCCACCTGGCTAGGAGGGTGAGCGAGAGCGAACAGGTGCTCGGTAGTTAGCGAGACTCCGTGACATCTCGGCCGCCCCTCTGGGAAGATCTGATTCACCTTTCAGATGTGATGGCAAGGGCGAGGCCAGGCCTGGTTCCCCGCCACCCTCTGACCAGCCTCTGCGGCAGCCTCTGGTCGTGGGATGCAGCTGCCCCTGAGTGTGCAAACGGAGGGTGTGCTGTTGGGACCGCCCTGGTTCACCGCACAGGTCTCTCCTGACCTAAGAGCTGTGACTTCATAGTCTTTCCAGGACTCACGCTAAGAGTTCTCTGAGAAAATGAATGTTAGTTGGCAGTAGTTGTTGTTTGAGAAAGTGGATTACTTACACTCTTTACTTCCCCCCTGGGAAGCAGAGCCTCAGAGGCTGAAATCCCACCCTGAGAACTCAGCTCTGAGCTCCTCCCCGGCTGGTCCTGCGCACACACCAACAAGTGCCACCAGGCCTGCGACCTCTCTGCGCCCTTGCCCCGTCCAAGTAGGTGGCTCCCTCTGCTGGCCAGTGAAGGAGGGTGCAGCGGGGTGACCCCTGTTAATCCTGACTGCTGAGCGAGTGGATGCAGAATGTGGAAACGTCACAGCAGCGTGTGTGCAGTGCGCCAGGAGCTGGCGTTTGTAACACTTACATGGGACTCCGACTCTGGGGCCGTTGCCTGCAGTCTGGGTATGAACGCAGCTGTGTCCTGTCCGCAAGTGTAAGTTAGCCGCTCTGGGGACCCTGCCTGTGAAAGGGTTCCCCCCACAGGCCGGCTGTGCTGGGGTCTGTGCTGAAAGAAGTGCCTCCTCATGGAACGGCACCAACGTGGTGAACAGGATAGTCGTATTTTTAAGGGATGCTAGCAACAAATAATCTAATAATTCTTAATCCTTTCCTTTGTAAGGTTAAAGTTCGCTGTTTTTAAAATGACTTGTATTAAGGAGAGTAAAGTGGAATATTTCAAACATGTAGTTGCCATTGAGATGTGGAAATACTAGAGATCATTTATGCACTGTTCTCATGTAGGAGGGAGGGAGGCCATGATAAGAAACCAGCAGAAAATTTGGATCGTAAAGAAGAAAACAGCAACTCTGTTTGTTTAAAGAGTCAGTCTCTTTTTCCATGAAAATACACATTATAGTTTTCAGTCATGTTTTACCCTGTCACGCTATTAAACAGGCATCGGCTGTCACAGATGACACGGGGAGACAGCCCCCTCGCCGGCTGGCATGGCCGCCCTGCCTTACGTGGCCTTAGCCCCCTGTCCCCCTCTGGCCTCCCGCCCCTTGATCGCGGCCCAACTGCCAGAGCCTGTTTTCTGTAACGCAGAGGACAGCCCGGGTCTCCGGCCCGAGAGCTGTACGATGGGCTTGAAGCTCTTAGTCCCCCAAGTTCGGTGCCTGAAACGTGGAGGACGCTCAGTAAGCGCTGGCGCCGCCCTCTTGCTGTCGTGTTTATCGATGGAAAGTTCCAACATGTCATGTGCAAGGCCTTTATTCTTTTGAATAAACAAATATACTGTAGCTAATATTTGGACATTAAAAAAAGGTTTTCCTTTGGGTTAGAAGATAAGCTGCTGACTGTGCTGATCTTCACCTGCCCCCAGGGACTGAATGTCTTACTAAAAATGGCAGCAATTGAGGGGGGCAGCCAGGTTGCTTCCCAGGAACCAGCAGAGCAGACAGTGGCTGATCAGAGTTCTTTTCAGACAGCCACGCCAGGAGCGTGTGGACTGCCAGGTAACCCCTTGGCTCCCTTCACCCCCGACAGAGGCGCCTGTGGGTCCGTGGGCGCCCCGGCCTCTGAGCACCTGGCGCAGGGCTCACGGTGATGTTTCTGGTGAGGTTCAAAAGCGTCTGCGGAAGCCTTGTCTGACTCTCAGGCCTCAGCCCCGTTTTTCTAGCCTCTAACTGGTCCCTGTCTCCCATAGGCATTGTGTCCAAGTCCTACGAGTGCCGTTTGAAGGGCCAAGGAGCCACCTTCGTGGAGACAGACAGCCCGTTCACCGCGGCCGCGCTGGCAGACGAGTCTCCCGTGAAGGACAGGCCGCTGCGGAGCCGGCGGCCGGCGGCGGCCGAGCAGGTGCAGCAGGTCGTCATCATCCAGGGCTACGACGCGGACTTCGCGCTCGACGCGTCCGTGGAGGAGACGGCGGCCGCCACGCTGCAGACGCTGGCGCTGGCCGGCCAGGTGGCCCGGGTGGTGCACATCACGGAGGACGGGCAGGTCATCGCCGCGAGCCCCGGCGGGGCGCACGCGGGCGGCGGGGCGCCGGGGCCGGTCCTGCCGGAGCAGCTGGCCGAGGGCGCCGCCCAGGTGGTGGTGGTGGGGGGCTCGGTGGGAAGCCACGGGGGGGCCGCGCCCCTCAGCCCGGGCGGCGGCGTGATGCAGCCGGGGGCCAAGCCGCAGGCCCTAGACCTCGGCGACGCCGGCATCCCCCAGCCCGACGCGGCCTCCGCCTTGGACGCCCTGCTGTGCGCCGTCACCGAGCTGGGGGGCGCAGCTGGCAGCGCCGGGCCTGACGAGAAAGGCGGGGCTGGCCACAGAGGCGTGCTGGTCCAGCTGCCCGGCCAGGAGGCGCCCCTTGCGGCCTCCCAGCCCGACGGCCCCGAGATCCACGTGTTCCAGGACCCCGAGGAGAGCCCCGCCTCCATGGAGCCCGTGGAGGTGCTGACCCAGGTGATCCGGCCCTCGCAGGAGCGCGCCCAGGTGGCCTTCAGGAAGGTGGTGCAGGGCGTCCTGCAGTTCGCCGTCTGCGACTCGGCCGTGGCCGGCCAGCTCCTGAAGGAGGGCGTCACCCAGGTCATCGTGAACGAGGGGGGCACCGTCCACATGCTGGCCAGAGAAGGCGCGCAGATCCTCATGCAGGAGGCCGAGGCCCGCGGGCAGCACGTGGCGCTGGCCGACCCCGACAGGGAGATCTCCCAGATCATCGTCACGGAAGAGCTGGTCCAGGCCATGGTCCAGGAGTCGGCCGGCAGCTTCCCTGAGGGCGCCACCCATTACATTGTGACCGAACTGCCCCCAGGGGTGCAGGATGAGACGGCCATGTACTCTCACACCGTGATAGAGACGGCCGACTCGCCGGACACCCTGCAGGCTGGGGCCGCGCTCGGCGCCGAGGCCGTGGTCCCCAGTGGAACCGAACAGTTGACAAGTATGGTCATTTATACCCAAGAGAGCTCCCCGGCAGCCACAATAATTCAGAGCCAAAGAGAGAGTCACGAACTCCAAGAAGCCTAAGGCAGGAACCCTTGCGCTCGGCCCTGGGCAGATGTGGAAAGACCCGGGACACGTGGGCACAGGGCTCCCGAGCAGCTGCCACTGCGGCGGCTTGGAGGAGGAACCCCCAGCACGCCCTCTCGGCGAGGTCACACCCATGCTTGGAGGCACACACAGTCCAGGGACGCACCCGCAGAGGGGACCCCGTGCCCGGTGCCGCCAGCAGGGCCCGGGGACAGCGACAGAGGCAGGGCCCTCGCAGGCCAGAGCTGCTCGCCGTCCTGACTCTTTTGCTAACGTCCTTTCCCTCTGTTGTAACCACTGTGCTGAGGAGAACCTGAGTTTTCTTTCTGCGTTTTTTTCCCCCCACAAGTGCTTTCCCATTTCAGCTATCAAAGGACTGTGCCCTCATGGTGGAAATGTAAGAACTGTGTACCTGTGGCTTGAGACGCATCTCCTCTTGCAGTCCAGCATGCAGCTGTTTAAAATTTTTATTATACATTTGGTTAAAAATTGCAGGTACAAATGTTACCATCTTGAAGTAATCCACCCCTGTCCGTTTTTTGGAAATGTTAGGATCACAGCGTCCCCAAACCAAAGGAAGCCCGTTCGTTCATCTCACGCGCCCAGCTCCTCTCTTCAGACGTGGCAGGTGCCTTCCTAGCTCTGGTTGCGTCCTGCTCAGAGGAAACCTTCTCAACCCCATGGTTAGGAAAAGCCTTCAAGTTTATATCCAATTAAAATGTCCTTTGGTTAAGACAACCCGATGCTTCTAATTTTAACTTAGTTTCATACAATAAAGTCTATATATGAAATGTGCGCTCTGGAAAATACTGTTCATATCAATATTTCACTTTTTATAACAAATGTTTGTTCGTATCACTATCACTTTGCAGGATTTATTTGTAAGTTATGTCCGGGTGAGAGACTAATGCTGACTGAGCATAGGAACAGAATGCCACACGCCTGCAGCCCTGGCCCTGACCTGACCCTGACCCTGACCCTGGCCTGACCACCATCTGGATTTGGTCGTGGCTCACTGCAACTTTGGAATGCAAGTTCATGTTCCAATAATTTGTTTCTTGATAAAATTGCTCCTCTTCCTTTCCGAAATTGTAAAATAATCCCCTCCCCCCAACGCACAGGTTGTTTTTGTTCTGTTTCTATTTTCTTTGAAATAAAATTATAGCATTGAAAGAGAATGATGACGTTTAACTTCCAGCAGCCCAGCCGTGGGCAGCTGCAGAAACTGAAGAGAACTCGCTCTCCTGGGTGACGCATGGTTGCTCCCCCACCCACGTCCGCGTCCACGGGCTTTTCACACTCCTGTGGCCTGGTGTGGTGTTCAGAATGTTTGGCACATGGCCCAGGCCCATTCTGGTGACAATAACGTATTCTGTTGTGGTTAGCATCTGAAAATTGTGAAGAACACACTACGACAGGAAAGGAAGAGGAAATGGTAGCTTTCTCCTTTTTGGTGACATAACAGTACCATTGAGGACACCTTCCTGAATAGACAACGTGGGAGTGAGGCTGGTGGAGAAACTGAGCCCGCTGTCAGGCCCCTAACCTCGTCCTCGCAGCGCAGAGCCCCGTGCATCCTAGGGCCACCACCCTTTAGACAGCTACCCCTCCCCAAAACCCAAAAGGTAGGATTTCCAGTTTCACACTGAGGTTCATAATTAGCTGAGTATGACTTGCTCGTGTTCCTTAAAAATGGCAGGGCGATTCAGCTCTTCTGAAACACTGTGCAGCAAACAGTGACAGGACCCTCTCCCGTTTGTTATCAGGATAAAGGTGACCTTTACAAAGCGATGCCCCTCCTCGCTTCTCATATGTGTTAAAAAAAAAAAAAGGAGGGGGTGAGGTTTTCCGGTGGAAACACTTCTTGTCACTCTCCCCACCCCCATTAGCTGTAGCCCGCGGTCTGGGCTCGGCTGCTGGTCCCTGACTGCTCAGCCTGTATGGCTAACCTTTCTGCCGCAGTCCAGGCTGCTGACACTGACGCTGCAGTTTACCGTGAGTGATTTATTTAGGATAAATATGTCTCAGCTGGCATTTAATCCTTCATAAAACCAGTGTAGCCTGCAGTGTCAAACCAGCAATCACGCTGTATGCACGATGAAAAGAGCAGGCCTTTGCATAAAAAAATAGTGCACAAGGTGTTGCGAGACCCAGAAGGACTGCAAAGGACTCCGTGGGCTGTTGTATCCTGTAATTACCGTTGGAGCTAGGTTAATGTTACCTGTCTTTTCTCTCTCATTACACGGCTACTGGAATGTATGGGAGTCCAAGAAGCACATACACACAAGCATGTCAGAATAATGAGGCGTGGCCCGTTCCGTGGGCAGGGCACACTTACTGCAGCATGTTTTGTCTGTAAAGAAGACATGACTGGTTTATGGCTTTCCGTGAAGTTTTTGCTGGGGAATGCAACAGAACCTTAAAGAAGTAAAAAAGCCAATGAAATATCTACTTGGAGGCTGTAATCCAAAGAGCCCACCTTTGTGTTAATTAAATGATTGTGCCTCAAGGGCATTTCGTGTGCAAGGGAGACCTCACCGTGCTGCCCAAGTCAACACGGGAACACGGTTTAGATGGCAGCATCCACGGCCAAAGGTGGCCAGTGCTCGTGACAGATGGCAGAGAGGTACAGAGAGCAGTTTCCATGTAGAGGAAGTTTAGCCACAGAAGATCACTGACAGAGTGCTGTCTCTCAGGCATCCTCTGGGACGCTGCAGGCCTCCTTGAGGAGTTGGAGCAGAGGGAGGAAGGGGGCGCCCAAACACGGCCCTCCACTCCACAGACACGCAGGCCAGCCAACCGCACCGCCTGAGAGACGCGCACCACGTCCTGAGGCTGCTGGGTTTGCCTCCAAGACTGAGTGGAAGTGCTCCGCTTGTGTCAGTGTGGCTCTGAAGCACCACTGCCGTGTGTCAGCTCAGCCCAGAGGTGTGGACCCAAAGTCCTGGAAGACACACGGCAAGGGTCCTTACTCAGTCACATGATAACCTCAGTGGAGACCCATCGAGGCCCAGGCCAGCCCACACTCAGGCCAAACTGCACAGTCCAGCCCACCGCTCCCTCTGGGAAGCTAGAGCCCCTCTGCCCAGCGGCACAGCATGTAGGACAATCTGTGACCAGAGGGGGGCATCTGCATTTCTCAGGTCAAGCAAACTTTGTCTTCCTGGACATAACGATAAAATAATGGCACATGGAAAGAATTGAAGAACCAGCTTAGAATCCTAACCCAGAGTTGGTTTGAGGAAGAGAATTAGGGGACAAGAAAGGTCATTTATATAGCAAACTAACAAAAAAAAGAGCTGTGCGTTTTCACTTCTTTTACTGTATAATGTTAGCCCATAATTTAAGAGAGTGCTCAGCTCACTATAGCAACCTCCTCTGCTCCATCTTGTTGAAGAATACAATTCGTTTTCTTCTCCTCTAGGCTGATATCATTTTACATGAAGAAAAAAGTTAGCTCAGATGGCAGTTATACGTTTCGGAAGCACCTTCTAATCAGGGATTGGTGATTCATTATTAGCTTCAGCAGGCGATCCATCTGACATGTAAGGGGAAAAAATTAGCAGCTGTCACTGCATGATGAGTTAATTTCCTGATAGGCCTGACACTGAAAAGCCATTTGGAGACATGGCAATGGCTGATGAGAAAACCTGGTGCTGCTTTATAATTGGAGATAAAGAAAGGGCAGAGGAACAGGCCGGCGGATGAGCCCCATGGACCCACAAGTGGGGGGCCGCTGGTGGCTGGTGTGCGGGCCAGGCCTCGCCTCACAGGCACGCGCGGTGCCGAGGCCCACCCCTCTGCCCTCACCCCGTGCCTGCCGTGGACACGCGTGCGCCTGCGAGGTTGGAGAGTGACAGAGGTGCCTGGCACTGTCACGGGAAGGCGAGAGCATGATGTTCTTTTGATAGTCCCCTTGGCAATTTTCATAATTGGAGTCGAGGCTTTCCATCGCGGGATGATGTTTTGTCACCATAGAAAAGTAACCCCATGAAATAAATATTGTGGAAACTCAGGAGGAAGCTGTGAAGGTGATGGGAGCATTTCGCTGTCTAAGCGAGGCCACGGGCGGCTGGGGCTCAGGTGAGTGGAGGTTGTCGGGCCTCCTGCAAGTCCAGCTCTAAAATTGCTCCTTCCCGGGGAATCCATCTACAGCCCAACGAGTTGGACAAAATCACTTTTTTTTTTAAATATCTAGAGATGGAAATGAGACACAGAGAGCTTGAAGTATAAACCGCCTTGCAAGCATTCTTGGGGTGCTCGCTTGGCCTTCATGGGCGGGGTGCTAGATGAAGACTTCCGGTGTGGGACTCGAGAAATGAGTCAGGACCACGTGCACCCTCTGTGCGTTCAGCAAGCTGCAGACTGAACGTGATGTGCCCGCTAGACCAGGGGAAGTCACGTGACCGCTGTGCCCTGCTTTGCATTCTGGGTCTGAAGCATCAGTGAAGCCTCTGGAGGAATCTTCATCTTGACAAATCAGCATGATATGAAGATACTGTCCCTTCAAAACCCCTGTGGCCTGTGGCCCAGCACAGGATTCTGGGCTCTCTCCTCACCGTTGGGCTCAAAGTATGTTCTGTCACCAGCAGGCCCAGGAGAGGCCTGGCCAAGAGACGGACAGAGTCACCTGTGCAAGCACATGGTCACCAAGACCTGTTACCAGAATTAAATCCATCATAAGTCTCTCAGTCAAAGAATCATTTATTTATTCCATGGCCCTGTGTTTCCAAAACTTTTTAATAAATTCTTTTCAAATGACCTAATTGCAACATCATAAAAAGATAATTTGTAACGAGGATAAACAGTGTGGGCCAGTCCACTGTCGGTGCCATTTTCACTGCTTTCTAGGATATCTCATGTTGCTCTTCAAATAACATTTTTAAGTAGAGGGATAAAAACCACACAAAATGAAGGCCTGTTTTTCAGTTTCCAGCCTGGGTTCTGGTTTAGAGATGAGCTTCGTGAAGGCTTATCTGGGGCTGCCAGGGGCTCCAGCAGCTCCGTGTGTCGCCGGGTGGGGGAGGTGGCACGGTGCTGTTGGTGGGGAAGGGGTTGCATTAGCAGGGCGACCTTTGTCCTCAAGCACTGCTGCTCCCCAAAGCCGCGGCACATCCAGAGCCATTGTGACTGAGCTGTAAAGGAGGCCGGGACAGCAAGGCCACGCCCGGCCTGGCCCCACAGCGGTTTAAGGAGATGGTGGACGTTGTGACGTCAGCTGCCACATGTGGCCCGTTATAGGCCACGGTCTCACGTCCCGTAACTAAGAACCACACCGTGAATCAGTTTCCTGGTAATGCTGGCAGATTTACAGGCACGCGACAAGCCGTGGTTTACCACCAGCACACCCTGGCCACGACAAGTGACGTTAGTGATGGGGGGCGGGGAGTCTTCCCTCAGCTCCAGGATGGGGCTTCTGGGCAGGGTGGGAGGTGCAGGGGCCTCGCTGCGGGCTGCCCTGCACCCTTCACGGCATGTGCACCGCTCAGCCCGCCTCCATTCCCCCAGTCAGTGCAGTTCAAGGGCAGAGGCTGTGTTTACTTTCCCTTATGCGCTCAGCGACCAGCACAGCTTGGGGCATCGTGGGCTCTCAGCAAATCTTTCCAAAGGAATAGAAAACACATAGCTTTTCAGTTCTTCATCAGTTTTTCTTAGGTTTCTTAGTCACCTTCCTTTCTGCTTTCTAGTCATAATTTTCTCAACGAAAATCTTTGGCAGGAATTGAGCAGTGAATGCATTGTGAACGTATTTCTCGTTGGTTGGATTGGTTCAGTACACATTTCTCCACCTTATTCCAGATGTTTCTTGATGAGAAGAGTCCTAAGACCAAACCTTGTGGCAAACACTGAACCAAGTTTACGCAAAACTTGCCATACACATTAAGGTGACTTTCTGAGCTTTTTATCAACAGGAAGAGATGGCCGAAGTTTTCCTCTTTATTCGTAATTATCATAATCCTGAGGAAAGCATGCGTTGTGTGCTGTGTTCTCTCGGGTGAAAGTGCGTTTTGTGTGCTTTCTCCCTGAGGCCCTGGGCCGTGCTCCTTATCCCACCTGTGCTTGCTGAGGGAGGCCCCAGTCACCAAGGGGCCAGCTCATGTTCCGGAACCCTGAGAAGCCTAGGCATCAGTGCCATGGCCAGATGGGGTGGGGGGGCTGAAACAGGTCCCT